CTGCTGCGCGAGAAGACGAGGTGCCATCACAGGAAGTCAAGCTCTATAAGGAAGGTTTATGTTAATTGCGAAGCTGCTGGTGCAAGGTGCTGATGGAGGAAGTTGACTCAAACTTTGCAGGCTTCATTGCTCCTGAGGCTGTGGTGCTATTGGCACAAGTCCCACATCCTTGATGAGCAGGATCATGCCCAACGATGCTCTCAGCTGGGCCGGAAGCCGCCAGCCTATGCAGGTGGCCACTGCCGCTGCAGATCCAGAGCGCGCTGCATGCGGAGAAGACGAGGTGCAGGGCCTGGAGAAGAAGCCATGTTCCAGTCAGGATGCAGACACTTGCCGGCGACAACTCTGCCTGAGCCAGTACGTGTTGGCCTCACAGCGAGTGTGTGGTGTAGTGTAGTGGCGTGGACCGCGCAGATAGGTTCTATGATTGTGAGAGCGAGAGAGCCTCATTGATTCTGCTTGAAAGTTTTTCCGTTAATAAGAACTCGTCCGCAAACCTCTGCCACATGATGTTTCGCCCCGTCACACTGCGACATTCGCCACGTTGCTGAACGGCGCCATATACGACTATGCGTGATGCCGGCTGTCGAACTGCCTGGACGAAGTAGGGGCTTCCCTGACCCCTATGACGCCTATGACCTCTGCACTATTGTTTAGTTGGCCTTGTCCCTGAGTGGAGGCGTGGGAGAGCCTTGAGCAGCCTTCAATGTCCCATGCGGCGACGGTCTCTGGCAGCAAGGCCGGATTTTTTTCCACGCATTCGGCCTTAGCGGCTAGACGCTCGTGCTGGCATCTGCGGGCAATTCGAAGACGAGCCAGTCGCACAGCAGGTCGAGGAAGACAACGATTTCGATGAGATGGAAGTAGACCCTCGCTCGCACCTCCAAGCACGCAATGCCCGACGGGACATGACGGGATCCCCAAAGAGCAGAGTCCTTCATATCGCGCCTTTGTCATGGGACGCCGTTTTCTGAACCGACTAGCACAAGACGCAAGTAGGGAGGAGGCTGTTGATCATATTCATGTTCTGCGCAGACGTCAGCCAGACATAAACCGAATGTCTATCCACAAAAAAGCGGGGTCCTTAGGCTCTGACTCCACATGTTCGACTGACACAAGAATCACTAGAACCGTCTCGCTTGCAGGCATGCGCCGCATTCCTTCTGCAGTACAGGTATCCTTGCCTACCTTAAACTTAATCAAACCTGAACCGAAGCACAAAGCCTGCAGGACATAAAACATGCCGCAGGCGTGGAAACCCTAAACACGCATGCGCCCGACGGAGTGTGAGAGCGTATACACACGCAGCAGAGCGAAGGAGAGTCAACAGCTGAGCAGCGACAGCTTTCGAGCAAGCCCTTCTCCAGCTGCGGCCTCGGAAGCGATTGGTAAGTCAGGGGGTCTCTTTTTTGGAGAAGGGGGGTCCTGATATGGGGTCAGTTCGTTTGGGGTTTGGGGTTTTGCTTGTGATTTTGGGTATATATGGATAGCAGTGACGAGGTTAAAGATGGTACTACATTGACATGTTGTTTGGGAAGTCACAGCATGAAAGAGTCGGAGTTTGCCCGCAGATATTTTCGCGGCTTATGAACGGTGCCCCTGCCGTGCGACCGCTCCTGAAGACTGCCTCAAAAAAGGTGGGGCCATTGACTGCCTGAGGGCCATGGTGCAGCTTGGCTGGGAAGTACGTGTAGAGGCCAGCTGTGCCTTTCGTGAGAAAGGCTGGCAGGTAGCGCTGGAACGTGCCGCAGCGATGTCAGATACGTCTGCTGTGGGGGACCAAAGAGCGGTCCGAGAGGTTGGAGAGCAGCATTTGATTTTTCGGCGCCGTCTTAGGACTTAAAGTCGTAAAGCCAACACAGAATCAGAAGGATGTCACATCACTCACGACTGACTGCGAGCTGCGGCAGGTCATCTCTTTGTGTGGTCGCACCTGGCAGTGGCAAGCAGCACTTCAATTACTGGCCATCATTGCAGCCGCCGACACAGTGCCCAACGTGTATTGCTTCAGCTCTGCCATGACAGCATGCGGGCAGGCCCTGCAGTGGCAACCTGCACTGCGAATTATGTTGGACATGGAGGATTTCAGAACCGCACCTAATTTGTTTACATACAGTGCTTGCATCAGCGCATGCGATGGTGGACAATGGCTTGTTGCCCTTCAGCTCTTGTCTAAAATGCCATTGGCAGAAATCCAACCAGACGCGATAGCTTGGAGTGCTGGCATAAGTGCCTGTGAGAAGGGTGGGCACTGGGAAATGGCGATGCATCTGCTATCAGAAATGCCAGCAGCTGGAGTCTTACCGGACCGAGTAAGCTTGAATTCTTGCATAAGTGCCTGCCAAAAGTCGGGACACTGGCAACTGGCCTTGCATTTGCTGTCGGACATGCATGCCGCAAGAATTTCGCCGAATGAGATCACCTTCAACGCTAGCATCAGCTCTTGCGAGAGGGGCGGGCAATGGCAGATGGCATTGCAAATATTTTCTCAAATGCCTTCAGCTGCAGCCGCTCCCAACGTGATATCTTACAGTGCTTCCATCAGTGCATGCGAGAAGTGTGGCAGATGGAAGGAGGCCCTGCGTTTGCTGGCCAAAATGCAAGCAGGCAGGGTAATGCCAAACGTAATCAGTTTCAATGCCGGCATCAGCGCTTGTGAGAAGGGAGGGCAGTGGCACATGGCCTTGCATCTCTTGTCTCAAATTCTCGCAGCACGGTTAACACCAACCGTAGTCAGCTATAATGCGAGCATCACTGCCTGCGAAAAGCGGGGCATGTGGCAGGCTTCTCTGCGTTTGCTCTCAGATATGCCACTGGCCAAGCTGACGCCCAACGTGGTCAGCTACTCCACGAGCATCAGCGCCTGTGAAAGGGTCGGGCACTGGCAGGCTGCCGTGAAAATCATGGCACAGATGCCAACAGCCAGAGTTGAACCAACTGTTGTGTGCTACAATGCTGGCATTAGTACCTGCGAAAAGGCAGGGAACTGGCCGCTGGCGTTGCACCTGTTTGTAGAGATGCCTTTGGCACGAGTACGGCAAGACATTGTTAGCTTCAGCGCAGTCATCAGTGCCTGTGAGCGGCGTTCACAGTGGAAGATGGCTTTGGACCTCTGGTCTGCGATTCCCGGAGCAGGTGCTACACCGAACGTGATCTCCACCAGTGCTTGCATCAGTGCTTGTGCAAAGGGGGAGAGGTGGCAGATAGCTTTGCAACTTCTGGCAGAAATGCCTTCGAGAAAGGTGATCCCCAATGTGGTCAGTCTTAATCTCGGAATCAGCGCCTGCGAGCAAGGCGGGCAATGGCGGATGGCCCTCAACCTGTTAAGACGGCTGCCGCTTGCAAGGATCGTTGGGAATCTTCGGCCTTAATTCCGCCGTGTGCTGCACTGGATCGATCCATACGGCTTCAACTGTTCGTGTTATTAACAACTTTGAATTACACGGTGTGCAGCCGGAGCTGCCATGCTGTTTTGGGCGAACAGCATGACAGCGCGGTCGCACACCATGTCCGGGGGCTAGCTGCATCTCTCTCCTCCTCTCTCTGTCAGTTCGTGGTGTTTCATCACATGCACAGCGCAAAAGTGAGACGGTATGCGTCCTCCGTAGTCACACAGCTGTCAATGTTGGGGTGAGGATCTCAGGAAAGGTATGTTTTGGAGATCTCGATTCAACAATCTTGAGCAAAGACTCTTGAAGGACCAGCCACACAGCCGCAGCAAAGATACTCTGTAGGAGCTCACCCTACACCAAAAGCAGCCCTAACTCAATCCTACATGGGCCTGCACCCAAAGTCTTCCGGAACCCTACACCCCCAACCTGCGAGTGCGAGAGTCGACATCCCAAGCTGCCGAACTTTCAGAGCATAGGACGTCAAAGCCCCTCAGGACGAGGCCGCTCTCAAGGATCGGAGCTCGTGACTGGCTGGCATGTAGGCTTTGTCTTGAGGTAGTTTGCAACAGTATTCCATTGCAGTCCCTGTACACTGCAGTGGAATGCGGCCGCAACGCCCTGTTCTACTTCTTCCGGCCTCTATTTTCGTGCACAGGGGCTTAAGCATTAAATCATATAATACAAGTACAAGCACGAATATTCTATGAGGCGACGTTTTTCATGGCTTCACCAGATGGTTCGTGTTGAAGGAGCCTTGTGGCTTATTTAGCAATGTAGGCAACCGGTTTTACACACACAAGAGCAGCGTTCCTTTTACATTCTTTCCTACGGTAGGCGGGAGAGGGTCTATACATCAGGGCCCCAGTTCTATCGGAATCTGCTCGGGTCCAAATCCTGCTGGATGTTTCTGCATTGCACCCGAGTATCAGCCGAGGAGTGAAGCCGGCCTGGTTGGGGGCTGAGCTGAGTCAAGTGGAGCAATGCTCATAGGTCTTTCTTTCCGTTGTGTTAAGTGTCAGCATTCTCATCCTGATTGGTTTGCGGTGTGAGCGTCATTGTCATCCTGTGTTTAGATGAGTGTTTGTTGCTCTTGGCCTCGATGACTACTTATTATACAGCGGCTTCTCCTTATGGTAAGTTTATGGTTTTCGGTATGTCGCTGTTGTCAGGTCCTAGGGTATTAATACATTGCCAGGTCATTTGTGTCACAATGCCGATGCTTGGGTTCGCCTTCATGTTTGGTCGGGTGTTCGTCATCTTGAAACCCTCCTCTAATGAGAGAAGTCCCAACATCTCCCAACCCAGGCCGGAAAGCAGGAGGGTAAACTTAAGCGCGGGCCGTTGGGCTGGCAGCCGGTAAAAAATTCCTTTTTCTCCGTGATGGAAATCCATGCTGTGCAGTACCGACCGAGGAGGAGGGTTTTTGGAAAGGGGGATATCGGCTCCGACAGACCTCGATGGGAATTTATGCACGGTTCGTCTTCTGTCGAAGAATGGCCCAAGATCTTTGACGGTTTTGCAGCGGGGCCGGCGAAAGCTTGGCTGGGTTGAGGGGGCATTGCTGGAGCTTCTGGACTTCGCGATGCAGTTACATGCTAGGGCTACTAGAGGCTTTCTCATGAAGCGGCAAGGAAGACTACGCCAGATCCGAAAGTTCAGATTCGGCACCACGCAGCAGAAGAGGGCCGACCCAGTCCCCACAGGCCCGGCGCTTAGGCCATCTATTCAGGAACCGTATATCGTGTGCAGAGACGTCCTTCCGCACTGGTTTTGAAGAATTGAAGGCTATACAGTGCCACATGGTAGCTTAAGGGCATGTAGCTGAAGCCAGCTGCGGTCAAGATCCTAGGACCCGATGGGAATGCCCATGACTCCAGTAGACGAGCCAAAATGCATCGAGGTTGAGGAGGCCGCCGGGCTGGTCCGAGATCCGACACGGCTCGCGACGCCAGGGCAGAGGCTTCAGGCGAGGTTCTGAGCTTTTTTGCCAAGTCCCTCTTTATGTTTTGCATTTGCCAGAGTTCGTTTCCAGCGTGTGCTTGTTCACAGCTGACTGTTCGGTAGTGCCTGGGAGCACAGCACCGGCCCTTGTGGAAAACAAGGATTGTCAAACACGGAAAGCATCGACGTCTAAAGCAAGAGCTGAGATCGGCTGCGAGCACTTGAAACGGTGCAGGAGGAGTGCTCCTCCACGACTTGGTGCTCGCAAAATTCCGGGCCTGCAGGGCCTTCGAGCCATGTTTGGCAGGACGCTGTGAATTCTTGGGCACTGACTGGCCGGGTTGTGATTAAGAGTTTCGGCTCATTGCAAGTCGCAGGACGCAAGCGAGCGGAGTTCCGGATCATTTGCAGCTCGAAGCAATAGCAGCAGCGAGGCGCAGGACCATCCGGAAGTGCCAAGCTGAGCACAAAGTGTGAACATGTACCCGCATGAACTGCCTATTTTCGAAGATGCTAAGTCCAGAGATGAGGTGTTCACCGCTCAAGCGCTGGGATGGCCTCGAGAGGAGGAAGAAGCAGCTGCTTTTGTGGCTGGACACCTGCAGGCCTGATATCCTCACAAGACTGATCAGGGCATGCTGAGTACTCTTTGAACCTCGAAGGACGAGGTTAACCTTCACAGCCTGCCTCGATCTGCGAGTGGTACCCACCGCAGGCGAGCAGAACCGGCTGCTTGGCTCTCAATGGCGGATGTTAGAAAGGTGGGAAGTGCGCGGCTTGCAGCCTGGTGTGGGGTCAATCAAGCCGTTCTGGCGACTAGCAGACAAGGAAGTATTGCTGCAGCTGGTTTTGTCAGTAATGCAATCGCTTCAGCGCCCACATTTTCCACATTCCGATTTCACCTTGCACGTGGAAGCATGGCAAGGCCGATGCCGTTGCTGCTGCTTGGTTTGCGGACCAGGAGCTCAGCTTGGAATGCTTCGAACTGTCCTCTTGTTTCATCTCCTCACCTCACTCCGGACCTACCGCACCAGCTGCCTAAATTGGTGTCATATTTCTTCATCAAATGTCTTCACGGCATGCTCGTTTTGAAGCACATCGCTTATCCTGCAGCTTCGTCAGAAATTGTTCATGGCTGCGTCATCTCAGTACGTAGGACGAAGCAAGCCCCGACCGTTCTGGGCGATCTCTGCCACGAAGCCATAGCAGCAGAAGCAAGCAGGAAGCGGCACAGGGCTCAGTCATGGGCGACCGCCGCTGTGTCAGTCGGTGTGTTGACATGCTGAGTGGAGCATCGGAGGTATGCGGCACAACTTTCGCAAGATCGGTACAGATAGAAGATGCTAGAAAAGACGATAAAACCACAATGCCCTGATGTTTCTTACAGTCACCAGGTCCGCAACGAAGCGCTTGATTGGTCGCAAGATGAGATGGTCTTGGCTTTCGGACAGCAGGTCTCACAGAATGGAGGCCTCTTCACGACAGGTGATTTCAGTCGACATGGAGTACATTATGTCTGTGGAGACTAGACGGTAGTCATAGCAGCCTTGCAAACACAAGCTGGTATCCTTCTCCTGCAGCAGCTCAACTGTCCAATTGCAATCCTGCATGTCCGTCAGCAATGCACAAGCCTTCCTGCTGATTGTCGCCATCGAAGCTACCTCCCCGTGATTGGCCGAGTGTGAAACCCCTTGAAGGTGTCACGGGAGTGTCTACCGCGCTCACACCTCAGGCGGGCCTTCGTGGATCAGCAAAATAGTTCGAACATGTATGCTTGATCACTCTTGAGTCTTGGCCCCTCTGCAGCCGCAGTTTTAGCTTTGGCAAGCCACCAGCACAAATCTAGGAACGTGCGATCAAATCTCAGGACGGAGGAGCAAGCCCCGAGAGCTCTGGAAGCCGCAGCAGAAGCCGGCGAAGGGAACACAACGAGGCTCCGGACTGAGTTTTCAAGTTGCCAGGCCTCTGATTCTGAACTGCATGTCTACCTTATCGACACCGGTGGTGGTGTTGTGCCTGATAGTATCGCGACTAGAAACAATATTATCCGGTCGTAGCTCCAAGAGCGTGTTGGCCAGCAAGAGAAAGCGAGAGAGAGAGGCCCTCGATTTTTGTTGTTGCGGTGTGCTTGTCCTGCAAGATCCGAAGACCAAGTTTGCTAGCTGCCCTGCGCATCTGTTCTTTAGACAGATGCATATCGGCCACACAGCTTACATTGAAGCCAAGCCACGCACGTCATAGTTCGGCAGCCACTTAGCAACACTTTCACAGCAGCGAAATGAAGAAGTCTTACCACAAGCAGCCTGGAGCTAGACGGCGTGTGCTGTGTCTATGCAGGATTTCCACAAGCTCAGGAACAAACGCACAACAGGTTATGTTCGAGAGGCCACAGATTTTCTTTTCACATTGGAGGAGGCTCAGCGCCGCGACGATGCTGGGGAGTCTGCGACGCGCAGCCGCGATGGCAGAAGCAGGCGCAGTGACTTACCGAGGGTGGGAGCCTCAAACTGTCAGTGTAAGTTGAGAATCCAGCAACACGATGATCCGAGCTGTCCTGCGGTAACAGACTCAATAGAGGATACAGGATACCTTTCGAAGCAGTTTGCTGCAGCCGACTGGTCGCAGTAAGGATGATATCCACACAACAACGACCGGATGGCCTGAAGATGAGATGGCATCCGCCTTTGGACCCGTAGAGGACTCGCGGAATGTGGGTGCATGGATCGTTGGGCGCATGCTTATTTGTCCGCGCTTTTCTGTGTGGTCTAGAAGTGAACCTCATCTGCAAAGGAAGAGAGCTCTTCCGCACCAGCACCGCCATCCTCGGCGGATGTGCCCCCGTTCAGTCGTATCAGAAGCTTCCCAGCTGACAGTCGCCGAAAGGAGCACAAGGAGCTGCGAGAGCATTGCAGTCATTGCGCAGGGTCAAAACGGTCGCAACGAGAAGCAATTAAACGAAACCCTTTGTCTGCCGTGGGGCGCTGGATCGCAGGAGGATTCTGACATGCCGTCGGACGGACAATCCTCACCTTACCCGCAAGCTGAGGCGACTGGTGCTGCCAATGTGTGCACATGGTATTGTTGTTTAGAAGTCCGCGGCAGCTAAGTCTGCATATTTGCTGCCTCAGAGGCGGGTGAGAATAGCCCAGCTTCGCCTGCGCAGCCGGTGGCGCGAAACGGCGCAAGCTGGCCAACAGATGACATGCCGGCTGTGCACTCAGATGCTAGCTGCCTGATGCTGCTTGTTTGCTTCACAGGCCCGTTGGCATCGCGGTGGATGTTTTAGCTCCGTCGACCGTTCCTAGTGGGAACTCTTTAGTAATGAATCCCCCCCCCACCCTGCAAGGTAGGTCAGCTGGTGGCCTGATCCGGCCCGCCCTCAAGTACATATGGCGGGCTTCGGGCTTGCCACCCAACACCCCTTCTAGGGTTTTGTAGGGCAGGTAGGGCAGGCGCATGCGGGAGATGCCGGCTATAGGGTTTAGGATTGGGGCCGAGGGTTGAGGTTAGGGTTTCGGGGTTTAAGGGACCCCAACCTGCTCCCAAACCCTATAAACCTCTAGGCTCAACACCCTGAACCAGGTTGCTATTAATCGGAGGGAGGGGGGTTTTGGCAACGTTTTTTTTCCCAAGGGTGGGGGCTCTGGTGGAAGCCGTGGTTTCAGCCAGGTCCGAGGCCCACGCGGAACGCCTTTTCAATCACGGGGGGTTAATTAATCAAGAGTTGACAGTGCCTGCATCGAGCAGACATGGTTACTGTAATGACTGTAATGCGGACGGGGCTGCAAGCGGCCTATCGTATCATCAGGCAAGCCTTTTGTGTCTGCACTGTGACCGTTTCGTCCACGAAGCAATGACAACCGAAGCGCAGGGCTGGTAGGCACAGTCCGCGATAGCCAAGAGCAATTCCCTGGGCGGCGTTCTGCGGGTGGCGCCTCTACATAGCACTTGCCACATACGACTGGAGTATGTAGCAGTGCTCATCCTAATCGTAGCAGGCGGCAGCAGCAATCAGAAGCATGCCTCGACGGTCTGGAGTCAAGGTTGAAGCCAAGGAGTTTGGCTGGCCAGCAAGCAGCACAGCCTTCGGGCAGCGCGCCGCCAGTAAGGCTGAGAGTCTTTTGTTCGTTTCTTCGGTCCATCGCCCACATGATTTTCGGGAAAGCTGCATCCACACTCGGTTCCGATGTCGCTGTTTGCGTCCGTTGCAGGCTGCCGAGTGGCGTCAAGATGACATGGCTGTGGCAT